TCATGATGAACAAAATATCAATTAAAAAATAAACATGGGATCAGTATTACCGATTTTCCCTTTTGTTTCAGGCCCCAATATGGCTCTGCACAGCACTCAGTATTAGGATCCTTGTCTGATTAGAAGGGGCCCTCCAATTTCCAGCCTGGCCTGCCATGCTTGCAGAATTTCAGATATTCAGAAAAATCCTTCCTTTCTGCAGTTAGATCATTTGGGTGCTTATTAGTTTATATTCTGCCCTGTTGTCAGATGAAGGTGTTCTGTTATATGTTTCAGGGAGGGTGCAGCAGACAGGGGGTCAGCTTCAGTGGGCCCAGACTACCAGATGGGGTTTACTGCCTTTAGACACTGGTCCTATGCTAGGGATGTGAAGCATAGATAGAAGAGAAGTGTCCAGGTGAAGCCAGCCTGCTTGGAGGTCCACACTCATTCTAGGAATTGAGGTCCAATGTTGTGAACCACTTAACAACACCCAAGGTGGGAGGTCCTGATCCTGAGATATAGGGAATCACGTGTCCCTGGAAGTAGGGGTTCCACACCGCAGTCCCACCAAAACGGGGTAGATTCTATTCCAACCCCCTTCCGTCTCCATTCCTTCACAGCTGAAGGAAACTGTCTACATCCCAGCGCCAACCATAACCCTAAACCCTAGCCAATACCTGTCATCCAAGCCACTACCACCAGTTCAGTTTCTTCAGGCTCTGAGAATTTCACAGCAACTGCAACTAATATACATCACTTAGAACTTCATTTTCTACTCCACCCTCATCCCTGTCAATAAAGGTCACAGCAACACTTTCAAGGGGAAGTGGGGGAACTGGGGAGATTATCTGGATAGCTCAGCCCTCATTTTTTTTTCCATGTAATTTTTAGACTTCTTCAGGTGGAAGCTAATGGGGAGGACTGAATATTTGGGGTTTCCCCTTCATTCTTACAGCCTTTTGAAACTATAGACACAGCCCAGAAGGAGGACACAAAGTTCTTCCTGAAATGTTTGTTCCCATCCCACCCTCCCAAAACACTTTTCCTGCACCCATCCCCATTGGGTCTGCTTTCTCTCAGAGTATCTACACACAATGGGAAAGTAGTGGTCACAGTGAGATGCAGGGGAAGAGAAAATGCTCAGGAAGAAAATGAGAGACAGGGGGTCCAATGGCCTCATTTGACTGTCTTCTGGTGACAATTTCTCAGGAAAACTCTTGGACCTGGCATTTTTCTCTGCCTCTGTGTGAATAAACCAAGATTAAAAAAAAATCTGGAAATCAAAATAACTTTATTTAAATAGTACGGATGCTTTAGGTTAAAAAGGATTTGTTTTTGAACAAGACCTTTGTTTTTAAATCTCTCAGTTATTAAATTTGTTTTACTCTTATAGATGTAACCATGATTTGGGAAATTGATGATTTGTGGACAAGAATAAAATGAAGAGGGTAAGTAGTGATACCATGAATTTGTGGTGGTTGTTTTTAATCCTCAGAACATTTTTTCGAGCTTACTTTGTTAAATCCATTTTATAAGATCAGGAATCTGAGGCTCATGGTGGGTAAAATAACTTAAATGGCAGAACCAGATTTTAAAGCCAGACTTTCTGACTCTGAAAATGATACAGTAAGTTTTTAAGATGGAAATAGGCCATCTGATACAATCCAGCTTTAAAACACCTCCTTTCCCCTGGAGAGCAAAGTAGGGTAAAGGTAGAGTTTCCTTTCTGAATTACCCAGATAATTGTCCTTAATTTTTTACTTCACTTTCTTTAAACTCTCACAATGACCTATCCAATTTTGGTTTTCTAAATTCTAGCTCTAAATTTCCAGTGAGATTTAATCAACCCTAAAAAAAAAAAAAGTTTAAAAAGTAGACAACTGGTTTAAACTGGTTATTTTTCTCTATAGGATTCCAAGGATTGATTTAGCCAATTTGTCCTGGATCAGACCAACTGTAGGTTGTTTCAGCCTCTGGGGAAATAACTCCAGTCTTGCCTTCTCAAATAAGCCCCCTTTCTTTGTCTGCTGCCTTATCTGGAAAGGAAGTGGTATGTAGAGATGTAGAAACATCTGGTAGCGTAGACCTCGAGATGTATGTACACTGCCTAAAGTGAGTGGGGACTTAGTTATTAGTTTTACAATCAGCCCTTCCCTAGTCTCCCTCCAGATCACACACACAAATGACTTCATACCTGGGAACCTAATAGACACCTTGGAGGAGCAAATAAAAATCATATCAATGCTCAGCTATGGCTTTGTCTTTGGGCTTGGGGACCCCTGTGTAGAGCTTCCCACAGCCCACCCACTCTTGACCACCCACCCCTTATGAGTGAGCTCTGGGCTCTGAAGAGTACCTTGTCCAGCTAGAAATCTAGCTTGCTACTCTTCCCAACTCAAATGCAAAGGCTTGTCAGTACAGACTTCTAGTATGGCTCAAAGAGCCCACCGTTTCTTTCTCCCTCTTTCTCTCTCCTGAACCCCATCTCTCTTTTTCTCCCTTTCTGATTCTCTCCTGGAATTTCTGCCTCTCAAAAAAAAAAAAAAAAAGTCTACGCTCACCATAGAGAGGAAGAAAAAAAAAAAAAAAACAGAGCAATAAAGCAAGGGTCTGTATAATTGGGAGAAGGAAGAAGCCACAACATATCTTGGCCCTAATTATCTGAATCTTGCTGAACAATTGCCTCCATCTCCCACACCAGCCCAGACTGCCACAGATGAGGTTTCTCAGAGCCAGAGGCACTGAAGAGAGACAGCGGTGTTTATACCTACATGTTGCTGAACAAACCACAATTGCATAGACAGAGTTATCTAGAAATCTCACTACTTCTAAAAGATCTGAGTGGGTAGAAAGACGGAGGGTGTCTGAAGATAATTTCTTATTCGTCTGCCACTTGCCTGTACCTCTGCACTCACTGAGATACATCAGCCCAATTCTATTTCCACACGGGGATTGTGGGAGCACATAGCTGCTGAGGCATGCTGGGTTTTATATCCTTTTCCTTGCCATAATTTGCAAGTGTATTAAATCTCAATTGGGCTGTATTTTTTTTTTATTTCAAAGATATTTTTCTCTAGGAGGCTGTGATCAAAAAAGTATTTATTTTTAGTGGAGGTTTTTTTTTTCCTGGGAATCTTTGAGATGTTTATTTTGTTCAAAGATTTCTCAGCTTCTCTCCAGTCCTTCACCCCTACTCCACATCACATGCATACACAGAACAGCTCCTTCTCTTCTACCTCTTCTCTGTAAACCCATTGCCTATTGCTCTGTGCCCCCAGCCACAGTGGGTTTGGTGGGCACCTGCTCCCTTATCCCTTCTCCCCTTGGCATGGCCCATTGGCTCCCCTGCCCCGGGAATTCCTGCTGGACCCAAATATCTTAAGAAGCTTTGTATTTTGGTGAGATAGAGAATTAAAGGGCCATATCCCTAAAAATACATTGCTGTATCATGAACATGTGAATTGCCTATCTTCTAGAAATGTATTATTGCATATTACATATTAGGTAGTTAATAAAATAAATAATATTATATAAAAATATTATAGCCAATACAGGATAGATGATGCATAATGCCATGTACTAAAATTGTACCATCCTTAATTCTGGTAATCAGAAGTCAGGGTGCCTAGTGTACTGAGTGTGTCATACTAAGTATTTAATAATATTTCATGATATTCACAAGAATGTTATTTGCTACACTCTCTAACATCATTCAGTAATTTTTTTTACCACCTACCTCTACTTCCAATCCCGGATGCAGAGGAATTTCAGGCCCGCCCCTAGGAGGTCCTCGGATCTATGCTTTCCGAGGAAAACATCCCTGAGCTTGGCATGTGGAGCTAGCAGGGAAGCTGGGCAGTGTCGGAAGACATCTGTGGCTGCCCAGGACCCCCACCCCCAAACACCTCTATAGGTATCAGAAGGGAGAACACTCTCCCACTGAGCTCTGCTTACAGGGAGAACAGACTCAAATGCTGGACTCCCTAGATCGAATCCTGATTTCTCAACACAAGGCAGGATCCAAAGCTCTTCATGTGGTTTTGGGAAACCTGGGACTGGTCTCTCCCTCATGGGGAGTGGTGGGACTTGCAGGATCCTTTCTCTCTTCAACTGGAGATGGAACAAGAGGGAAATGAATTCTCTTTTCCCATACTTAGCCAGACAAGACCAGCGGGTCCCCAGCCTGGGCCTGGACCCCAGATGCCCCTGAACAGGTCTTCCTCTTCCACGTCTCATCCCCACGCCCCTGTTTCTGTGTTTGGGGCACCAATAACTAACTCTCTCAACCACATTTGGGGGAGTTGGCAGTGGAAATGTCTATAGGTTTGAGCTCAACATACCAGAGAGGCAAGGAAAATTTTACATCGCTGGGGAGGGATTCGAGCCTCCTCTCCACTCCCTCTCCAGAGATTTTGGATTTTCTGTTCTCTTAACAATCTGGAAATTCACGGCCAGATTTTTTAAATAAGTCAAGAAAGGAAAATAAGAAATTTCACATTTCTGTAGACCCCAGCAAATTAGCCCCCTATTTAAAAAATACTGTCTAGTGCCTCAACTATCCTGCAAATTCAGTCAAAGAAAGTGGGGGTTCTTATCCCCCGCCCCCCCCCCCCCAGGTATTCGGTGGGTTGGGGGTTTTGTCCTGGATTCTATGGCACTATAGGCACACCCCGCCCCCATCCCTGGCCGGAAGCGGGATTAGGGGCCAGGAGCCCGGCGGGAGGCTGGAGCCGGCGAGGGGAGGCGGAGGCGAGCTACTGAACGGAGCAGAGCCCGCGGCCCGGCGTTTGGGCGCCTGTGATTGCTTCATTCTCTGCCGGGCAGCTACAGAGAACGTGTCGGAGCAGATTTCTTCCCCGGCGCATTCCTCAGTGCAGCTCGCTCGGCCGGCTCCTTAGGCAGCCCAGCCGAGCGGGCGCGCCGGGGCCAGACGGCGGGGGTGGCTGGGGCGCGGAACCCCGGGGCAGGCAGGGCGGGGAGGATTCCCCGGCGGCGGCGGCGCTTGGGTCCCTTCCTTACCTGGGAAGGGAGACTTCCAGAGGTGGGCGGACTGCGACTGCTCCTTGGAGCAGTACACCTGACTGTCCCAGCCATTGGAGAGAGCCCAGTGCTGGTAGCCTTCGACGGGGATGAGCGCGTCGTGACGCGGCTCCGGGTGCCCGCTGATCCCGGGCACCACCGACACGTCCAGGTAGCCGGGCATCGCCTGGTACGAGCTGGCGAAGCTGGGGTAGAAGGCGAACTCCTTGGCCCTGGAGGACAGGTCGTCACCGGGCAGGGCGCCCGACGGCTCCGGGTATTTATCACCCGGGTGGTAGGCGCAAGGCTTCTGCTGCAGGTTCACGTTGTGCGACAGACGGCAGCCGTAATAGCTGCCCCCGAAGGGGTAGCCGTAGCCCAGGGTGGCGCTGGACGAGGTGGGGGGCGCGGGCGGCGGGGCACACTGGCGCGCCGCCTCCGGGGCCGGGATGTCCGTGTAGACGGCGCCCTGAGGGGCGCCCAGGGGAGCCGGCGGGCGGCCCAGCACGGGGTGCGAAAGCAGATCCCGGCAGTGGCTGGCCGGGCAGCTGCTGCCCAGACCATCCATGCTCGGGGCTTTGCCGGGGCTCGCTCCGCTGCAGCCGCCCCCCGCTCCGCTCGCGCCGCCGCCTCCTCCTCCGCCGCCGCCGCTGCCGCTCTCCGCCGCGCTGTCCTCATAGACGTACATAAGGCTCTCCGGCCAGCGTGGATGCAGGAGCAGCGAAGTCGTCATGACATGATCTGCTGGAGCTTTTTAAAAACTCCACTTGCCAGAGGCAGCGAGCTGGGGAGACACCTCGCTCCCGTTTCCCCTCCCCCATTCCTCCCCTCTTTTCTCTCCACCCCTCCCCTCCTCCTGGTGCTTCCACCTCCCTCCCTACATACCATCCACGCATGCGGAGATAGTTCATTAAGAAATCCGCCGACTCCCGCCCTCCACCCCTCAGCACTCCTCCCGCGCCCACGTGACGCGCTCTGCGCACGTGATGCCCCGGCCAGGTCCCCTGGGGTTCCCTCCCCTCGAGGTGGGGCGGGGCGAAAAGAAAAAGGTCTCTGATGATTGGATCAGATCTCTGATGATTGAGCCAAAGGAGGCGTGAGCTGGGAAATTTAAAGGGACAGGGAGACGCCCCCCCCCCCCCCCCCCCCCCGGCAGGGCCCGGAGAGAGAGAAGGAGGAGGGGGACCATGCTAAATTTGGCCGACGCAAAGGGGTCAGGGAGGAGAGGGCTGTAACTGGGCGCCTCCCCCTAGGCAAAGGATGTGCACGGGGGAGACAGACCCCTACCCACAAACCGATCACTATGACTGCTCAAGTCTCTGGATTGGGGCTTGAAGCTAAAGGTGGGAAAGAAACCAGATTTTAAAAAATAATAAATGAAGATAATAGAAAACAGGCAGGAGCGCTAAAGGTGGGAAAGAAACCAGATTTTAAAAAATAATAAATGAAGATAATAGAAAACAGGCAGGAGCGCTCTGGCCCTGGCAGCTCCCCTCAGTTCGCGGATGGAAAGAACCCGATGCCGCGTAGCGAGCCTTCGATGCCGGGACTGTGTTCCCAGTTCCTACCTTCAGCCACTTTACCCAAAATCCCAGATGTCTGAAAAGGACTCTCTCTCATTTACTTCGCTGGATTTTCCTCGAACAGAGAGGGGTGTGACAGCCCCCAAAAACAGAATTCATCACCTGGGGCGGGGATTGTGAAGCGATGGAATACACTCAGCAATAAATGGAGAAAGAATAAAAGGAGGGAAATAAAAGCCATAGAATAGACTGATATTTCAATATGCGAGAGAAATAAAAATCTCAGAGTGAGATTTTTCAAAGAAATTTGGGGGGGAGGGACTGCAAGATACAGCCTGGGAAAGCTAAAAGCCCTGGATGCGAAGGAGAGGGTGCTCTCTTGTGTAGGTATACAAAAGAAAACATGGAAAATCGGGGAGATTCAGCGCTACCCCTTTGGAGGGACCTCTCTCTGGAGCTACTCTGGCGGACCCTGCAGAGCTCACCTCTGCCCTCAGTGGCCTGAGTTGAGCCACCGCGACACAGTCCCTTGTTGAATATCCTTACTGCTGCTCCCATGGCTTTCTTAGGTCACTCTCTCTTTTAGTGAGGAGTAGTTTCATGATCTAAAACTGCCCCCTATTTCAAACAAAAAATCAACACCAACTTACTGATTCTTCAAAAGCTCTTCCTTCTTTCCTTACAATCCCCCAACTTGTCAGGAACCTCAATAGCGTCGCCCCATTCTGGGGGAGCATCTCCGTGGAATTGAGCCAAATTCCCTTTCAGCACAGTGCTGTCCTGAGAAATCGCAACGAAGAGAGGAAAAATAAGAGGGGCAAGGGGCTGCAGCATTTCCCTGTTTCCTACCTCTGCCACAGGTTTTAAATGCTGAGTGCTTGGGTGCAGCCAACGCACAGGCCATGGCCACACAGTAGCCCCTCGCTCAGCCGGACCTACTGCACCCTTCAAACCCGAGAGCAAATGGACAGGTCTGCAGAGACCCCTTTGGGCCACCTCCCTCCTCCTTCTGGGGAGAAGGTGGCGTTTGACGGTTGAGAGCACCCGGACATCGGTGAGTTAGGATAGTAATTCTTATCTTTGTGATCTTCATCCAGAAGGGTCAGCTCAGAGTTCAGAAAGCAGGCTGCAGGCTGGGCTGGCAGTAGGAATTAAAATACAACAGAAAGGGGGTTGAGACATAAGAAGACCAGCTCCAGTGTGTATTGAGGGCAATGACGGAGGGGTGAGGAGAGATGAGCCCAGTGGAAAACAGGGTCTTGCTGGGAGCCGGCTCTGCTAGAAAACTGCTTATCCTGCTGCTGGAGTCCAAGGTCAAGGTAAAACAAGGAGAGCAAACAGGGCCTGGCCAAGTCTAGACTGGTCGTGTGACCTTGGCCCCCTTGTCTAAGGCCTGGCTGGTGAGGGTGGGTGGGTGGGGAGGCCTGCCTTTTTCCAGCCGCTGGTAGGAGAGGTGGTACCCAGATCCTGGACTCCCCTTCTGTGAAGTGGAAGAACTGGGGCGCTGTGGACAGGGTTCTGCGGGGCTGCCAGGAGAAACAAAGGACCTGAAACACCCACCCCGTTCTTGGGGCTCCCTTCCCGATAGACCCGTCTGCTGCGGTCCAGGACTCAAAAACAGGTCCCCAGCCTTTGGGAGTAGAAACCAGAACAGTGGGAATAGGAACCAGAGCGGCGTGAAGGATCTGGGTGCAGGGCGGCCAAGCAATAAATAAAATTAATAGTATGTTCTTTTCCAGGTTTATATAAGGGCATTAACTATTCCTATTGCAATGAGATATAGATTTAATTAACCCGGCAACTTTACAATTCAATTTATTAGGAGCACTATGCGGCCAAAATTTAGTGGCGAGAAGAAAGAAAGGGAAACATAGTCCTCTTCCTCAAGACCAGCCGAAGATGTAGGCCCCCAAAGCGACTTGGAGGAGAGGGAAGGCTGGCGGGGAAGTTCGGACTCAGGGCGATAAAAGCGGCTGGGTAAGTCCGCGTGCTCTGAAAAATTCCCCCTTCTTTCACTTGGTTCCCCAAGACCTTTAGCGCCTGCAAAAGCCGTCTCCAAGTCTGGGGCGTGCCGGGATCAGGGAGGGAGGCGGCGATGCCAGAGCCTGCAGGCGGGCGATGGAAAGTAAAATCTTGTTGGTTAACTTTAAGCCTAGGGTCGTTTCTCACCCCTCCCCCGAAAAAAAATGTGGATCTCGCTGAGACACAAATAAAATCAAATTAAACACTCCAGGAGAATATGCACCACTGGAAACGTAGTAATTACATCTCCAAGGCAGTTTCGCCCTAGAAAGCCTTTCTGAGGCCTGGCGCTGAAACCCTCAGCTGCGGCGCTCACTCCGGCTCGCCCGGCTGGGCTTCGAGGAGGAGACTGTGGGATTTGACTGTGGATGAAGTTTAGACAAAATCCAGCTGCTGGTACGGGGAAAAAGATGGAGCATTTAATTATAAGGAAGGAAAATGGAAAACGGCCCTTCAGCCTCGTCGGTAAGCCCTGGCTCTGCTCCGGGCTGCTTTTTCAAAAGGACTTCTGCAACGGGAGCGGTAGGAGCCACTCTGCCCTCAGCTACTGCCCATGAACCGAGCTCTCAGCTAAGTTCAATTCCGAATTTTTTTCTTTTAAATGCTCCAACACAGAAAGGAGATATTTAATGTGCCTTTTCACAGGAAGCGTGTGTGTGTGTGTGTGTGTGTGTTCGCGCGCACGCGTGCGCGCGCGTGCCTGTAAATTTGGGATGGGTGCAGGCTGCCTGCACTGTTTCAGCACACGGCCTTGTGGACACAGCCCAAATGCGTTCCCGAAGACACCCAGCTCTCTGCCTAAATCCTCTGTATGCAAATAAAGGTCTCTGCTTGTCGGTCTGTATGCACTTTTAATTTACATATTCTTCCTACTCTACTTACAAAGACATCCCCCAGCAAAATATAGAAAAATGAAGAAGCAGATGTCTGTGTCTTTCTGAAGTTGAGGGGTGGAATTCATGGCCCACTGTATCTAAGACAAAGTGAGAGGTGTAACTTAGCAAGGTTTGCATGGGAGGGTGCAAGCCTGATGCACACACTTGAGGGCTGGGTGTAGCTCCGATTCTAGACTAGGGAAAAGGATGAAAGAAACGGCGTTGCTGTGTCCCTTATTCAATGCCCAGATTCTCTCCTCTGAAAATTAGGTATCAGATGATTTCTCTCCCTGCAGCCCTTTTCTGTTTTCTCCATACGGGTGGGGAGCTTAAAGCGCAGAAGCTCCTGCTCCCCTCACCCCACCTTTTTATGGGAGAAATTCCAGTTTTAAAAAAGGAGGGGGTGGGTTGAGGCTGTAGGAGAACAAAGAGCCTCACCACCATGGGGTCTGGATTCTGGCCCAGACTTGGGGCCTTATAGGGCAGTTAGAGAATTTGGGTTCCCTTTCCTGTTCAAGTTCAGGCTGCCGATGGAGGAGGACATTTGTAGAGGATAGAGGAGGACAGGGCCTGAGCTATCCAAGAAAGGGATGTTTGAGAGAGATCATTTATAGGAAGGGATTAGGGGTTCAGAAAGGGCATATGAGGGGGGATACCCTTGAGGGTGTGTCTGTGTGGAAAGACCCTCCCACATGCTTGAAGAAAATTCCTGATGGGCTGCAGAGGGTGATACTGGTAGAGAAGGAAAGAAAACTGGCTGAGCCTGGAGCTCCCGGGACCTGCCCAATCCCCTCCCCTCCTTTTTCCAGTCCCTCCATCTCTCTGGGCTCCAGAAGGTCTGTTAGTCCCTGCAGCCATGGAGCCTGCAGACACAGATGCCACCTCCCAGGCTCCTGCATCCCTCTGAAGCCTGCTCTACTTTGATCTCTCCACTCCCACAGCCCAGCCTCTGAAGAGGGCCACTAGGCCTCTTCTACCAGCTTGGGAACTCACCTCCTGGACTGCAGCTGCCCTCCTGGCATCTTCCACCGTTAGTGTTCTCCCTCCCTAGGCCAACATCTTGAGGGAAGATGGGACCAGGGTAGCTGAGGCATCACTTTGCTCCTTGTTTCACAGCTTTCCCACTCTTGAGCCCAGACTTGCCTTCCTCCAGGCCCCATTGATTTCCCAGTGGTAGATATCAGGGAAATCCATTGCTCTCTGCTGTCCAGTGAGGACTTGCAGTGCTGGTCGAGGTTTGGGGTCACCCCTTTTCCTCTCTGGCTCTGCAGGGATCCTTACAGGGGTCCTAGTTTAGGCTATCACAGATCTCCTGGATTCTCTTCCAGCATGCCCCCAGCTGCAGATTCTGCTTGGTGGTGTACTGGATTTGGTCGGGGGAAGTCAAGTGGCCCCTTCCATGGAGGACTATCAGGAAGCCTCCTCCGGTGGCCTCTGGAGTCCCCAACCCCAGTCCTCTTTCTTTCACAGCTTCCCCGCCCTCCTTACCCTGCCAAGCTCATCACAGAGCCCCTTCCCCAGCCCTCCCCATCCTCTCCTTCCCCAGCCCTTTTCTACCCCTCACTCCACCCATCCCCTTTTCTTTTTGGGCAGTATCTCAGTCTGTCACTTGGCCCCCTCCCTACTCTTACCCTTCAGTGACAAAAGAAGTTCAGGGAATAAACACAGAGTTAAGAAATTAACAAAGTATCTCCTCCCGCCTTCTGGCTTCACCAGAGCTCCTACCCCGCCCTGTCCTCTACTGGGGGAAAAGGCCTCCTGTCCTCTTCTCCTCCTCCTAAATACCCTCCCCCTTTTAGGAAGCCCTTCAAAAACAGACAAATAAAATCTCTCCTGGTTTTAGGGCCTGTCTGAGAGGGAAGTCCAAGTTCATTTTCAAGTTAGACAACAGATCTGAGGGGGGATGGGGAAGAGGTGGAGGAGTATTTTCTGGGGGCTGAATTTGGCTTCCTCACAGAGACCTAACAAAAGCCCCTTTTGGTCAGAAGGCCAACAAACCGAATGCCTGGAAAAGGTATTTATCACTTTCGATCATTTCCTTCATCTTTTAAAGTTTAGGGTTGAGGCTCCTAGAAGGGAGGCAGACCAGCCAACCTTTTTTTTTTTTTTCTTCTCTTCTTTTAAAAGATTTCTAGTTACTTTAAAAGCAGATATGGAAAATAATGTTTTTCTTAGGGCAGGGAGGGGATGGACCTCAATATAGCATTCTTCTGGGTTAAAGTGGACTGGTTAACCTGTCCTAAAGAATGACGAAATATAAAAGGCATAGCTGAAGGGCTGAGCATTTTACTTCTTATGAGGTTAGGGGCCTTCTTAGTCCCACCATGGTGTGGGAACTGGACTTTGGTGGGGTCCTAAAAGGCAGATGGTGGAGGGAGTATATATATTTCATCACAGGGAAAAGGAAAAATTATATCCTAAATGGATCACAGCCTAGCTCTCTCCATGATCAGACACCTTCAGCAGCTGCAGCAAGCACATTCTAATATGAAAATCACTAAATAGAACACAAGAAATTAAAGGACCTTCAGAAGACGCCTCATCAAAAGAAAGAAAATTCAATCCCTCCACCTCCAAAAAGAGAGAGGGCTCAACTAAAGGGGGAAAGAACCCCCTTTTTGCTAAAATGACCAGCCTTGACTGGGATCTATGGTACAAAAAGGTAGAAGGGAGCTTGTATATCTGGATATCTGGGACAAGAATCCTGCTGGTAGCAATTAATTAAATCTTCCTAAATATATATAATTTGGTATAGAGTTGTAATGACTGCAGGGAAACTATCACTTTGATATCCTTGGGGTTGGGGGCTGTTAAACTCTCCCTCCCTCACTGCCTCCTCTTTCTCATCCAAATTTCCCTCTCTTCAGGGAGTATTTAGAGGTATCTTTTACATCTTAGCTGTGGTGTTGCCTTGTACATGCAGCAAAGCTGATGAAATCTAAAGAACTAGAAAAGAGAATGAGGACATCCATTTTTCCTTTTCCCAAAGATTAAGATTATACATTCACTTGCATAGTCAGAAAAAATTTAACTCAGATCAGAGGAAATACCTTTCAAGGCAAAGAGACCACCCCAAGCTCCTCAGATTTGATAGTCTTTAGCATTTCTGGGAAACACGGTCGTTAAGTGCTGCGTATTGAACAGTGCACATGCTGGGGAACGTGTGTTACAACAAGTGTGCCTTGTGCTTGTGTAGCATGGAGATATTTGTGGGTATTATAACAGCGGTGCTGTTGGGAAGCCTGATGAGGTGGGCTTGAAAAGGAAGAAAACATGGTTAGACTGTGAGCTTGGGAAAGACCCAAGTGCTCTATCCAAAGGCAGTCATCTCGCCTTAGGCTTGGCCAGTATATGCAAATAAATCAAGGTTGCAGATATGGCAATTCTTAAAGCACAAAAAGAAGGGACTTTGTGCAATTCTTCTACTCCGAGGCCTTGGGAATACAATCTGCTAGAGTCTGTATCTGTGATTTAAAACACTTGTAGCTCTCTTTCTAGTGCTTGGCTTGTTAATGAATTTCCCTCCAAAGAAGAAATATAGATTTATTTCTCTAATCTAGCATAGACTTGTTTCTAGACAAGAAAATATGTAATATATGTTTTGTTCAGTGTTAAGGGAACTCCAGATAAATACTAACATAAGAAATGTGTCCGCAGATACCCATATTCATATAATTAGGATTACCTTATTATCCATATAATCTTAATTTTAAAAAAAATTTCTTTTGAATATGACAACATAGTTGTGTTTAAAAAATTTAAAGGCTTTACTTGTCTATATGCCAATGCTGAGGTGGAAGGAGGCTTCACCGACGTATAGTTCTGTGGGTAGACAGGTATTGGTACAGATGCATTTGTTAATGCATTTCCATTCATGTTGTTTTCTAATGCAGTCAGCCATTAAATGGAAATGGTATTTAGGTTTATGTAAGTGCAGAGATGCTTTTTAAAGTTATAGTTTTAATAGAGAATAAAAATACCATGTCTAAGGATAACAGCAAAGTTGCTCTCAGTCAATTATCTGAGAGAATCTGAACAATTCTCAGATCAATTTTTCCCTTACGCATCATTCAACGGCATTGAGCTTCTGAAACCAACTTGCCATCTTGCCAAACTTGGCAGAATTGTGGCGTTGGCGCTGTTCTTTCAGCGCAATTTTCTTCCATGGATTTTGGGATTCGGGTCACTTCCGGAGCCTGGATGCCGATTCCGCTGAGCCTGAGGAGTCACTGCCGCCTGGCTCCGCCAGGAACTCGGCGCCAGCATCTAACTCTTTCTCTTCCTTTTCCTCTGGATTGCTCCCAAGTCAGAAAGTTCCTTAGTATATTTTAATATGCTGGTTTTAAAATTTTACATATGGCAATTATTTAGTATTTTATTTCACTAACCCAGACCAAGCTTCTTGGGGAAAGCCGCTTCCCCACAAGACAATAAATGGCCGACCCGAGCGCGGCAGGAGTGCCCGCACTAGGAAGCGCCCGCTCCACTGCCCGGCGCTAGAGCAGGTCCAGCGGGGCAGGCACAGTCACACACGCAACTCTGACTGATGCTCTGTGTGCACGCTCTGTGCACCTATTGCTGAGCACCCAGGTGAGTACACTTATTTGTGGGGGTAGGACAGATTTAAGTGGGCTCCTGGAGAGCTCTGGCCGCGCGGGTGGACGGCGGACTCACCCTAGGGCCTGGGCATTCATGAGCATGCTTGTGTGAACAGACGCGGGGATCGGTAGCTAGGTCCCTGTGCCTCCAGAGGGACACATCTTGACTGCCAATTTCTCTTAGACGCATTCACTACCCAGACCAAGAATCAACCTTCCCTCTCTTCTCCACCCCCCGCCCCCCGCTCCCGCCCGCCGGTCCCTGTGGAAAGGGGTCCTCCCAAATGGGGAAACAAACCAAGAAAAAGACTATTTTCTGTTGCTTATGCCCAGTTTTGGGGTAGGGAGGTGGTTAAAAATAATCATACACCTATAACGATTTGTCAAAGAAGGTTGAATGAATCTCAGACTCAAAAAGAAATGGGTCGGGTAGGAGGTGATGAGGAAGGACTGGGAACAAGAGGGAGGGAAACCATGATAACA